GTAGGTTTCACTGTTGGTAATCTTTGGTCATTCTGGGTGCTACGTTGGGTAGTGCAGTTTTGCTTGTAACTAGGTCATCATAGGAGCATTGGTAGCTCTCATAGTTGGAGAAAAGTACGGAGCTTGGAGGTCGCTGCTGCCACTGCCGCTGCTAAAAAAAAGAGGTAAATGCTAGGGTGTTCGGGAGAGGGGTGGGATTAAATTATGGGGAATCAAATTCAAATTGGGAATTAACACAGTTACTTTTTGCTGATGATACTGTGCTTATGGGAGATTCTAAAGAAAAATTGCAAAGGTTAGTGGATGAGTTTGGGAATGTGTGTAAAGGTAGAAAGTTGAAAGTGAACATAGAAAAGAGTAAGGTGATGAGGGTATCAAATGATTTAGATAAAGAAAAATTGGATATCAAATTGGGGAGGAGGAGTATGGAAGAAGTAAATGTTTTCAGATACTTGGGAGTTGACGTGTCGGCGGATGGATTTATGAAGGATGAGGTTAATCAGATTTATGAAGGATGAGGTTAATCATAGAATTGATGAGGGAAAAAAGGTGAGTGGTGCATTGAGGTATATGTGGAGTCAAAAAACGTTATCTATGGAGGCAAAGAAGGGAATGTATGAAAGTATAGTAGTACCAACACTCTAATATGGGTGTGAAGCTTGGGTGGTAAATGCAGCAGCGAAGAGACGGTTGGAGGCAGTGGAGATGTCCTGTCTAAGGGCAATGTGTGGTGTAAATATTATGCAGAAAATTCGGAGTGTGGAAATTAGGAAAAGGTGTGGAGTTAATAAAAGTATTAGTCAGAGGGCAGAAGAGGGGTTGTTGAGGTGGTTTGGTCATTTAGAGAGAATGGATCAAAGTAGAATGACATGGAAAGCATATAAATCTATAGGGACAGGAAGGCGAGGTAGGGGTCATCCTCGAAAGGGTTGGAGAGAGGGGGTAAAGGAGGTTTTGTGGGCAAGGGGCTTGGACTTCCAGCAAGCGTGCGTGAGCGTGTTAGATAGTGAATGGAGATGAATGGTACTTGGGACCTGACGATCTGTTGGAGTGTGAGCAGGGTAATATTTGGTGAAGGGATTCAGGGAAACCGGTTATTTTCATATAGTCGGACTTGAGTCCTGGAAATGGGAAGTACAATGCCTGCACTTTAAAGGAGGGGTTTGGGATATTGGCAGTTTGGAGGGATGTGTTGTGTATCTTTATACGTATATGCTTCTAAACTGTTGTATTCTGAGTACCTCTGCAAAAACAGTGATTATGTGTGAGTGTGGTGAAAGTGTTGAATGATGATGAAAGCATTTTCTTTTTGGGGATTTTCTTTCTTTTTTGGGTCACCCTGCCTCGGTGGGAGACGGCCAACTTGTTGGAAAAAAAAAAAAATGTAGTTTTATAGGGAAAAGTGATTTTAACATGGTTTGTTGAATAATTATTTTAGCTGTTGACACTAATTCACATTCCAGCAATGTTTACACCATCTCATAATAATAAATTATATTTACAAGAAAAGGGTGTAAATTGTTTTTACGTCAAAATGATTACTGTACAGTATACCTACACACATATCAGGCAAAACTTAACACATTCTGCTGCCTAGATTCTACTTGCACAGCCACTCGAGGGGGTACTTTGATGCTGATAAAGAGCATTGGAGTTACCCCCCTTTTCCTTGGATCGAACCTGATTTCGTCTCATTCCTGAGACACTGTATGGTCCATACAGTTTTATTGCTTTGTGAAAATAATAATAATAATAGTGGGAGCGCTTGAGGTTCCTAAACCTGTATTCCCTGGAACGCAGGCGGGAGAGATACATGATTATATAGTACACCTGGAAAATCCTAGAGGGACTGGTACCGAACTTGCACACGAAAATCACTCACTACGAAAGCAAAAGACTTGGCAGACGATGCAACATCCCCCCAATGAAAAGCAGGGGTGTCACTAGCACGTTAAGAGACCATACAATAAGTGTCAGGGGCCCGAGACTGTTCAACTGCCTCCCAGCATACATAAGGGGGATTACCAACAGACCCCTGGCAGTCTTCAAGCTAGCACTGGACAAGCACCTAAAGTCGGTTCCTGACCAGCCGGGCTGTGGCTCGTACGTTGGTTTGCGTGCAGCCAGCAGTAACAGCCTGGTTGATCAGGCTCTGATCCACCAGGAGGCCTGGTCACAGACCGGGCCACGGGGGCGTTGACCCCCGGAACTCTCTCCAGGTAAACTCCAGGTAAAGCACCCTTCTGGCAAGACAGTGATGGAGTGAATGATGGTGAAAGTTTTTCTTTTTCAGGCCACCCTGTCTTGGTGGGAATCGGCCAGTGTGATAATAAAAAAAAATAAAATAATTGCCCATGATGTTAATGGGAATTTACAATATATACAGTACTTACTAATGTATGAATGCATTTACTTCCTTTCTGTTTAATCTCTGTGTTAATGCTCCAGTAGTTTATTATTATTCATTATTATTTTATTAATATGATGATTTATGATTTATTATCATTATTATTTCTTTTTTCTTTGTCTCAACAACCATCTCTCACCAAGGCAGGGTGATTTTGTTGTATTTAGGGGAAGTGCTAAACCTGTAGAGATCATATAGTACCTGGGGAATGGGAGACAGTCAGGTTTGTTTATTCTTGTTGTGGTGACAGTTGGCATTACCAGCCACCTTGTTAGTTTGTTTAAATAAATTATTTCCTTCTATGTTTACTCTCATATAGAGGACAGCATTTACGTAGAAGAATATCTTAGCTCTACACATGGAGCTGTTGTACTATTGTACATTATTTGTTTCCTAATAATAATGACACTAATTTTTTCAATCTTTTCTGCTGTCTTGTGTTTTTTTTTGCTTGTACTATACTCTTCTTAAGACTACTAATTGCAGTTTAGTACAGTACTTAATTTAATATCTTTTCTTTGCACTGTGTACCTTTTTTTTTTTTTCCCCCCAACAAGTCGGCCGTCTCCCACCAAGGTAGGGTGACCCAAAAAGAAACAAAATCCCCAAAAAGAAAATATTTTCATCATCATTCAACACTTTCACCTCACTTACACATAATCACTGTCCTTGCAGAGGCACTCAGATACGACAGTTTAGAAGTCCCTCCAAACTGTCAATATCCCAAACCCCTCCTTTAAAGTGCAGGCATTGTACTTCCCATTTCCAGGACTCAGGTCTGGCTAACCGGTTTCAATAAATCCCTTCGCTAAATATTACCCTGCTCACACTCCAACAGCTCGTCAGGTCCCAAAAGCCAATAGTCTCCATTCACTCCTATCTAAGACGCTCACACACGCTTGCTAGAAGTCCAAGCCCCTCTCCCACAAAACCTCCTTTACCCCCTCCCTCCAACCTTTTCGAGGATGATCCCTACCCCTCCTTCCTTCCCCTAAAGATTTATATGCTCTATACAGTTTTAAAAATGATGTGTAGTACTTTCCATTGTTTGCTCATCCACCAATACTTCATTTTTTTATGCACCAGCCAACTTCCACTGAGGCAGGGTGACCTGAAAAAGAAGAAACACTTTCACCATCACTCGTTCAATTGCTGTCATTCACAACACACATAAGTACGATTAAGCACCTAAATTGCTGGGAACAGTCGAAAGTCCCTTGATTTGTATTCCCTGGAATGCAGACGAGAAAGAAACATGATAATATACATTAGGAAAATCCTAGAGGGATTGGTACCAAACTTGCACACAAAAGCGAAAGCAAAAGACTTGGCAAGAGATGTGCCTTTACCCCAGTGAAAAGCAGGGGCGGCATGAATACACTGAGAGATGACACAGTAAGTGTCAGGGGCCCAAGAATGTTCAACTGCTTCCCAGCATACATAAGGGGGATTACCAACAGACCCCTGGCTGTCTTCAAGAAGGCACTGGACAGGCACCTCAAGTTAGTACTTGACCAACCGGGCTGTGGTTTGTACGTCAGTCTGCGTGCGGCCAGCAGTAACAGCCTGGTTGATCAAACCCTGATCCACCATGAGGCCTGGTCTCAGACTGGGTCATGGGGGCATTGACCCCCAAAACCCTCTCCAGGTATACTCTAGGTATATCACAGTTGATATACCTCTCCAGTACTTCATTAACTACCTTATTATTATTATTACAGTCATGGGGGTAGCACTATACCTGTAGGGGCTGCACAGCACGAGGGGAATGGGAGGCACTCAGATTTGATCCAAGGGAAAAAGAGTATATTTCCATATACAGTACCTACAATAAAGTTGGGCTTTGAAAGAGCCAAGATAGGATAAGAGCTCTGATCCTATAATTTATACAGCGTAAAAATAAATAAAAAGTACTAATGAGGTGATTTACAACTACATAAAGTACAACAATTTCAATATCACCTTCAATGTTGTAAAAAGTGATCTCTGAAATTTCTCTTAAATATTTTTGTACACTCTTATATAGCAAATGAAGTGGAACCTTACTATCTTCTGTCTTCTGAAATTCAGTTTTTTTAAATGAAGTATCAAAATATTTTGCAACTGATTATTATTTGACACAAGTAAAACTTGCAAAAAGGATAATTTTAATTATAAAGTATATACATATATAAATTTGTTTGTCCACATTGCTTTATTTCCTGTTATTGTGTTAATAATTAAACTTACAAATGATACTCACAGTATTAGTAAAATTGTTAGGCTATTTTGATAAAATTTATAGTTTGTGATAATATACAGTGGTACCTTGAGTTTCGGCCATAATTCGTTCCAGAAGGCTGTTTGAGTGCTGTTACCGAACGAATAATGTAAATAATGTAATGTAAATTAGATTAGTCTGTTTCAGACCCCTAAAAATACACTTACATAATTGTTCGAGTTGGGAGCTGTTCGAAACTCGAGGTACCAATGTACCAGCTTATCTCACACATATTTAAGTATGCAGTCATTTATACATGTTGACTTTTTTTTTTTTTTACCAAAAATTCTGCTGTTTTTGATTAAAAGAAGTTATCACAAATATTTTTCCATTGGCCCTGCAGAGGATGTTCCCAATAAGTGACCCTCTGCGTCGGCTGGACCGGCTGAGTACACCTGGTAGTGAGACACGTATCCACAAATGTCAGTATTGTTCTCGAAAGTTTAAGAGGAAGGACCATCTTAAAACTCATGTCAGGATTCATACTGGAGAAAGGCCATACAAATGCAAAGTCTGTGGCCGGGGGTTTATCCAAAGCCAACAGGTAAGCTTGTGCATTTCTAATTCCTTACAGCTATATTATTTTGATTATTATTATATTTAAAGGGAGCCACTAAATCCATAGTGATTATACAGCACTTTGGAAATGGGAGACAATCAAGTTTGATCCGGGAAGGGAAGGACAAGTCTAACTCCTTGAATTAAGAGTTCCTCATGAGGATCAAGTAACATCTATTAAGAAGCCTAACAGCTGTAGAATTGTATAGTTACTAGTAATTATATTTTTATGCCAATAAGAATACAGCACATTAAATTATTTTTAATATACTTTTGCTACTTTCCCACTAATTCCACACTTTGTCTCTTCCTGTTACTGAATTTGTCAGCTCTTTCATCTTTACTTCTAAATCTTGGGAGAAATGCCAGGGTATAAATGATCTTAAGAAGATTATGATCAATATAATTTGGATGTTCAACACTGAGTATAAGATCCAGTCTGCCTCTTCGGAAATTATTATTATTATAATCAAAAAGAAGTACTAAACCCACTAGGGTCATACAGTGCTGCACCCTGAAAGCTTTTAGTTACATGAGTGATAATAAAACAGTGACTGAAGCTTTAACCCTTTCATTGTCTCTCACATTGATCTATGTTATTGCGGCCAGTGGCCTCATCTTAACCATAGCATTCTCAGATATGCTAAGAGTGGTAAATATGGGCCTGGAATAAGAGAATGGGTCATGTGTGGTGGGTATGCACAGTATAAAAAAAAATGGTGCCTCATGCAGTGCATGATGGGAACAGATAACCTATGACCTTGTTAGATTTAAAATAGTGACTTGAAATATGCCACACAGTGGTAGAAATATTTGATTATTGGCACTTTTCCTGGTGTGTTTTATGGGGTCAGGAAACACTTCAGTACTTCTTCAGTGGAAGAGCAGTAAAGGAGTGGCATTAGCTAAACCATAAGAAAGTGGATGTTGACTTCATATAGGTATTCAGGCAAATAGTATGCAATTATTTACCAGAACAATAGGTGACATGATCACATTGTAAAAAATACTTTGGGGATAGACAAAGTAGTTAAGGACAAAAACTTTTCTAAGTGAGACTCAAAAATAAAGGTACACACAGATGGAAGTGAAACATCCAGTTGCATTGTAAAGTTGTTAGGACATTAGCCTTCTATGTGAAAGTAGTAAAGAGTGGAATGCCCTGGATGATGATACAGTAGTCGACTCCAAACAGATGTTTAAATGTAAATACAGTTGAACCTCTGCTTACAAGTGTCCCACCATGCAATTTTTCAGGATATGAGCCATCACTTGGTTGATTTTTTGCTCCTGGATATGAGCCAAAATTCAGGTTGCAAGATTCGTCTGTAAAAACTTGCATTTGTGGTCGCAGTGGTGCCTGTGCTAACCTTCCTATGGTGTAGAAATATACCTAGTTGGATGAATCTTATTGTGGCTAGCTGGTCTAGTGGCTAACGCGACGGGCTGGAGTTTTGAGACTCTATGACCGCGGGTTCAATCCCGGCCGGGGGTATGGTTTGTTTGCAATCGTGTCATTACGATTTCTTGATTCAGGTTGCAAGCTGTACCCTCAAGGGAGGTACCTGGATGCTGGTGAGGGGCTCTTGATCTAGGGAATTGTATATGTGCTCCAGTTCCCTAAATTAAGCATGAATACCTTCCATCCCCTACCCCCCACAGGTGCTGTATAATCCTACTGGTTTAGCTCTTCCCCATTATAATAATAATAATAATATATACTATAATAATAATTCATATAATAATAATATAATACTATAATAATTATAATAATACTATAATAACAAGTGAGCTTCAGACCGCAACAAAACATCAAACACCGCCACAGGATGGCATAGTGAATACCACAACAACGCTCACCATCACTAGTCAAAAGCATTGAGAAAAAGCCAAAAATCAGTGAAAAGTGAAGTGGAAAAAAAAATTACAAATAAATTGTAGCAGTTAAGTTCAGTGATCAAGTGTAGCATTAAGAGTATAGCAAGTAAGTTAAGCAATGGAAAAAGGACAAAACGAAATGAACTCCTCCAGTGTTGTTGTTGTTGTTGGGCTTTATAGTGCCACTGATAGCATACGCTGCTCTGCCCATCTTTTCCACCGTCAACCTCTGTCAGCATCTCTTCACCAAGGTAAATGCTGTATGTACACCAGTTTATTTCTTTACATTCTCTATCATGTTTTATTGTTTTTATACAATATTTCTTATTTCAGTATTTTTCTTGTGAAACTAGTGCAGTTATCCTCACAAACACTCCATTTTCTATTATAATAACACCTCAGAAGGGGAAGCATGGGAAGATGTTTTCAGAACGGGAGTGGAAATGGTTGCCATCACTTGTCACATAATGACATATTTTATTCATTGTAGACTATATAAGAGGTTTCTGTGTTAATTATATTCTTTATTATGTCATATTAGATGAAGTGTGATAGATAAATAAGCTGTAGAGTTGATATTAGCATCATATTCGAGTATTTTGTTCTACCTCCAGAGCAGGAATTCCACTGGAATGGATTAATGGCATTTCAGTTAATTTAAATGAGGAAAATTGACTCAGCATACGAGCAGATCGGGTTACGAGCTAGGTCACAGAACAGATTAAACTCGTAAGCAGAGGTTCCACTGTACAGCCTCTTCTCACTTAGTGATGTACTCGTTTACCCATGACTCGGACTTACGACGGGCTCTCTGACCAGTATGCATATCTAAATAATGTAGTATATTAGAGCTGATGTCCTCTATTCTGTTTATTTTATTACAAAATACAGTACACTACTGTATAAACATTTAAAAATATACCAGAAATGTTATACTAAATGGTGCAAACATGACATTAAAACAATATCAAAGATGGCTGACAGAAACCCACTACCATTATAGTATGCTCCTAACTTAGCGACGAATTCGTTTACTGACGTAGTCTTAGGAACAGAACTCCAGACATTTATTGTTGCTTGGCTGCTTGTAAGTGTTTCAGCGGTCAGAGTGTATGATAGTGTGAGTGACTAATCATACAAATATATGACAAAGTTCTAGGTAGTAGGATGGTAGACAGCAGCCGCCCAAGGAGGTACATACTGTACTACTGTTCTGCCAAGTAAGTGTAAAATGAAAACCTGTAATTGTTTTACATGATGGTGGGATTGCTGGTGTCTTTTTTCTGTCTCATAAACATGCAAGATTTCAGGTACATCTTCTTACTTCAACTTACACTTCGGTCACACTGCACAAGCATGTACAAGCATATATATACACACCTCTCTGGGATTTCTTCTGTTATCTCACTAATTCTAATGATTCAATAGGGCAGAAAAGTAATGTGAAGGACCTGGGAGTGATAATCTCAGAGAATCTCGCCTTCAGAGACCACAACAATGTATCTACTTCATCTGCTAGGAAAATGATAGGATGGATAATGAGAACCTTCAAAACTAGGGACGCCAAGCCCATGATGATTCTCTTCAAATCGCTTGTGGTCTCTAGGCTGGAATACTGCTGTACACTAACGGCCCCCTTCAAGGCTGGTGACATTGAAGACCTGGAGAGTGTACAAAGAACTTTCACGGCGCACATAAAATGCGATAAGGCACCTAAACTACTGGGAATGGTTGAAGGTCCTTGATCTGTACTCCCTCAAATGCAGGCGAGAAATATACATGATAATATACACTTGGGAGGTCCTGGAGGGATTGGTACCAAACTTGCACACGAAAACCACTCCATATGAAGGCAAAAGACTCGGCTGTAGATGCAACATTCCCCCAATGAAAAGCAGGGGTGCCATGAGTACAGTGAGACACAACACAATAAGTGTCCGGGGCCCAAGACTGTTCAATTGCCTCCCAGCATACATAAGGGGGATTACCAATAGACCCCTGGCTGTCTGCAAGAAGGCACTGGACAGGCACCTAAAGTCAGTACCTGACCAACCGGGCTGTGGTTCGTACGTCAGCTTGCGTGCAGCCATCAGTAACAGCCTGGTTGATCAGACCCTGATCCACCATGAGGCCTGGTCTCAGACCAGGCCGCAGGGGTGTTGATCCCCGAAACCCTCTCCAGGTAAACTCCAGGTAACTAGTTTTTGTTCTTATTTCCTCTTATCTCCATGGGGAAGTGGAACAGAATTCTTCCTCCTTAAGCCATGTATGTCATAAGAGTCGACTAAAATGCTGGGAACAAGGGGCTAGTAACCCCTTCTCCTGTATACATAACTAAAGTTAAAAAGAGAAACTTTTGTTTTTCTTTTTGGGCCATCCTGCCTTGGTGGGACACAACCGATTAGTTGAAAGAAGAAAGATATGATAAAGTAAAGAAAAGTCAGAAAAGTGAGCTGACATATAAAACACTTTGAGGAAGCATCGAGAGGCATTGTTTACAAAGTACAGTGGACCCCCGGTTAACGATATTTTTTCTCTCCAGAAGTATGTTCAGGTGCCAGTACTGACCGAATTTGTTCCCATAAGGAATATTGTGAAGTAGATTAGTCCATTTCAGACCCCCAAACATACACGTACAAACGCACTTACATAAATACACTTACATAATTGGTCGCATTCGGAGGTGATCGTTATGCGGGGGGTCCACTGTACATTGCAGCTTTGGCAGTCATCTGGAATATTAAAAACAAAACTTGTCATCAGTACTACTTAACCTGCCATATAAGTGGGGCCTTACTGTACTATAAAATATTCTTAAGTAAAACAAATTTTCCTATATATACTAACAGAAAAATATGCATTTGATTTCAACTAAAACCTACTAGGCTTCCAGAGAATTGAATCTTATAGCAGCCAGTTATAAAATGCCAGAAAGAACCTATGTATTACTAGATTGGACCTACTACATAATAGGTAGCAAACATATAAGTACATACATACAGACACAAATTCACTCACACACATATACACAAATACACCAACAAACAAATTCACCTTACACATGTACATACATGCACAAATACACACATTCACTCATATACACATGTATATGAGTGAATGTGTGTATTTGTGCATGTATGTACATGTCCACACACAAACATGTACATTAAAAAAACAAATAAACTCATACAACCTCTCCTTACTTAGCGATGTACTCATTTACTGACACCTCGGACTTACGACGAGCTCTCTGACCAGTATTCATACCAAAATAATGTACAGTGGAACCCGTTTTCATCCGGTTCGAATATCGTAAAATTTGGATTTCGACCAGTTTCTTCGGCGAATTTTTACCCTGGGTTTTGTATGTTTATTCAGAAATCGTCTGTACCAGACGTGTCCGCCTGGGCCGCTCATACATTCATGATACTAATACGTAATAATAATTACTCTTGGGCACATTAAATGTCTTATTTTAGGTTAATATAGACATTTTCATTAATCCATCTATGATATTTTCTTCAAAATTATGTAAGAAACACGTTACGTAGCATATAAACATGCAATGTTTATATGCTATGGAGGTGTGCTAGCCAGGCAGAGGGAAACATTGTTTTATCTGGTCCAGCATCAGAGAAAGCATATGAATCTGCGTTGGCCCAGTCACCGCCCTTAATACATAATGCGTTTGTTTACAATTCTCGGCATGAATTATTCGCTACTTCTCCCTTTGTTTATGATGGCATCTAAAGGTAGTTGTTAGAAACGATTAAACTCAGTGAACATGGTATGTCGATGGTAATAATATGGCTCTGGGCCACATTAAATATCGTGTAGCTAGGATGTTGAAGAGTTGGTGGAGAAATATCGCCCTAACAAAGCTGTTGCAAGCCATGTCTGCATGGTCCAGTGACTCTCAAGTTGGTCCTAGTGCCAGTAAAAGACAAAGAAGGGAAGTAACCCCAGATAGGGCTTTGATACCTGAAGTCCTTATGGAGGGGGATTCTCCTTCCAAACAATAACCTCTCCTCTCTCTTCCCTCCTCGCCATCTTCCATATGCCAATAAGTCTCTTCAATAAAGGTGAAAGTGATTTAAATGTTCATTTATACATTAAAATTAGTATTTATATTTATTTCTCATTTTTTCTGTATGTAAAACTATAGTTATTCTCTATAAAATGTGTTTTTTGTTAATATTTTTGGGTGTCTGAAACGGATTAATTGGATTTACATTATTTTTTATGGGAAACATTACTTCAGCTTTCGTCCGTTTTGGATTTTGACCAACCTTCTGGAACGGATTAAGGACGAAAACTGGGGTTCCACTGTATATTAGAGCTGATTTCCTCTATTTTGTTTATTTCAATATACAGTACACTACTGTATAAACATTTAAAAATATACCAGAAATGTTATAAATGATGCAAAGGTGACATTAAAACAATATCAAATATGGTTGACACACACTCACTATCATTATAGTATGCTCCTACTTAGCGACGAATTCAATTAACAATGTGGTCTTAGGAACAGAACTCCATTGTTAAGGGAGGAGAGGCTGTATTCACAAATACATACATATAAGCATACAAGATCAGAGGAGGGCAAAGAAGACCGCAGACAGAGTATAGGCTAGGTGGCCAAAGGCTGCAAACCTCACTCAAGGAGAAAGACCTAGGAGTGAGTATAATACCGAGTACATTGCCAGAAGCACACATTAACCAGATAACTGCTGCGGCATATGGGTGCTTGGCAAACCTGAGAATAGCGTTCCGGTACCTCAGTAAGGAATCGTTCAAGACTTTATACACTGTGTATGTCAGGCCCATACTGGAGTACGCAGCACCAGTTTGGAACCCACACCTGGTCAAACATGTCAAGAAATTAGAGAAAGTGCAAAGGTTTGCAACAAGGCTAGTTCCAGAGCTAAGGGGAATGTCCTATGAAAAAAGGTTAAGGGAAATTGGTCTGACAACACTAGAGGACAGGAGGGTCAGGGAAGACATGAGAACGACATACAAAATACTGTGTGGAAGAGACAGGATGTGGGACAGAGACAGGACGTTCCAGAGATGGGGCACAGAAACAAGGGGCCACAATTGGAAGCTGAAGACTCAGATGAGTCAAAGGGATGTTAGGAAGTATTTCTTCAGTCATAGAGTAGTTAGGAAGTGGAATAGTCTATCAAGCGATGTAGTGGAGGCAGGAACTATACATAGTTTTAAGACAAGGTATGATAAAGCTCATGGAGCAGGGGGAGAGAGGACCTAGTAGCAGTCGGTGAAGAGGCAGGGCCAGGAGCTGAGTCTCGACCCCTGCAACCACAATTAGGTGAGTGCACACACACACACACGGGCCTAGTGTCTAATCGACATGTGCCTAGTACAAAATGGTAACTAACACACACACACATACATACATCTGTGATTCATTCTGAGATAGAATGTTCCAGAGATGGGACACAGTTGGAAGCTGAAGACTCGGATGAATCACAGAGATGTTAGGAAGTATTTCTTCAGTCACAGAGTAGTCAGGAAGTGGAATAGTTTAGGAAGCGATGTACTGGAGGCAGGATCCATTCATAGCTTTAACCCCTTGATTGTCGCAACCCCCAATCCTGAGGTGTCTCCTGATGTCACAAAATTTCCAATAAAAAAAAAAAATTATTTTCTCTTATGAAATGATAGAGAATCTTTAACCAATTGTAATGACATCAAAAAAACTAAATTTGATAGAAAACTGGCGGAATTACACTTTCGCGAAGTTAGCAACCTCGGTGATATTTACAAATCGGCGATTTCACCCACTTTGAGCCCTATTTTCAGCTAATTCCATTGTTCCAGTCGACCAAACTCATAGCTATTTCTTTAGAACTCCGTTTTTTCTATCGATTGAGTACAAGAAACTGCCCACTTACCATTTCCAGGTTCTTTTTATAGTAAAACCAATTAGAATCACCTCTACTTCTGTAATATGTTTTCCATTCTATCAAATGAGGCCAAGAAAACGAGAATACAGTACAACCATAAATACTGTATGAAAATAGACCACAAAGTCAGCATTTTAATTAAAAAAAAAACGGTCGGAGTTTTTTTTTCTCATTATGCACTGCGTGCTCCAGGATTTTTTTTATATGGTGCACACTGACCACACAGACCCATTCTCTCACATGTGGGCCTACCAGCTTTCTCCTGTTTGATTTGAACCCACTAGAATTTATGAGTATATACACCTACCATCCGACTTACGACCTGCTCAACATACGACCATTCGACTTACGACCTTGTTTTCTATGCCAAATTTCTGGGAAATAAACAACTGTTTGTGTTGTACACAGTGTGTATCCTAAACTTTACAGTATAAAATACAGTACTAACAGCATAAAAAGTAAAATAAAAAATGAAATATCACAATAAAACAATAAAATAAAGTCATTACAAAAATGTGATGATATTCAGTAGTAAGGTTCGACTTATGACCGGTTTCTCGGAACCGAACTTGGTCGTAAGTCGGATGGTACCTGTATACATCAAACATGGTACCTCGTAAGACGTATATGTACGACCAAAACAGTCAAAGGGTTAAGAAGAGGTATGATAAAGCTCATGGTGCAGGGAGAGTGAGACAGTAGCGGCCAGTGAAGAGGCGGGGCCAGGAGCTATGACTCGACCCCTGCAACCACAACTAGGTGAGTACACAGAGAGAGAGAGAGAGAGAGAGAGAAGGCATTTAATGAATGTTAGTTTTCTAGATATGTTTGTATATTAATAAAATTTTAGCTTTTTTGATTTATACTAATTTTTTCCCTGATATTGCAGGTAAAAATCCACATGAAAGTCCATGTGCGGGAAGATGCCTCAGGTGTAGGTGCTCCATCTGCTTTGGGGCCTGGTGGAGGTGGCAGTGGCCTGCCTTCTCTCTATCCAGATCTTGGGGGGCACTATAGTGACCCTCAGGGGCTAGGAGGCCCCCATAATGATCCCCACACAGACTTGGATCAGTCCACAGAGAACAATCCGCCTGATAATGACTCTGATAATGAGTGCAGCTCAGAAATTGCCGATATGGAATATGAAGCGCGGCTACAACAGGAGAGCGGCAGTGGGGGTCCAGGTCGCACTCCCCCAACATCCAACCCCTCGTCTGTGGGTATACGTGAGCACAAGACCCCGTCCCCACAGTCCCCCACTGGGGCTGTATCAAGGAGCCACACCAGCCCCCCAGACGACCAGAGCTGCAGTGCCATGTCTCTGAAGGAATCATATCATATAGGTAGCAATATAAAAAAATGATGGCTAATGTGCTGTGATGATAGAGGCTTTAATTAAGTAACTGTTGGTTATACTAATTGTTTTGTTGCCAATATGCATTTCCAAACCATCAGAAAATTTCCGGCTTCAATGTTAATTCCTTCAAAAGCATATCGATGGCAGGAATGATACAATAGCAACGGCTCAACTGGACAGACAGCTTACCATTTCAACCCCACGTTCAATATGAATTTACTGCAATAATACAATAGATGGAGTGTTTGCCTAACAGACTTCATATATCCCCTAGCCATTGTTGTCAATGATCAAGTGAGAAGTACCAGTGTGTGATAAAACATGCACGACGGTCTGTGATCTGTTTGTAGGAGGATTTTTTTTCTACTTAAACTAGGTACTCAACCTGGACTCGTGCGTGCAATATTTAATTACACTGGAACTCTGGGAAGTATGGAGACTTTAGAGGGTAAACTCAACCCATCGGGTTGTTTACACCACTTGGTTTCTTTTTATATACTGTATATTTTTTCTTTTTTTTTCTGATGAATTGCTCCCAATTTCGTATAAGCCATAACTTATGTGTTGGACATGCTCATACAGTCAGCAAGTGCTTCTCACAGATAGTTTTATATTGAGAAGACCAAACTCCCCTAGATTAGAAGTATACTGAAAGATTATTTTATTAATCCAGATGTCTTCAAACTAGAAATAAGTTTTAGTTTCTGTTAGTCCGTAGTAAAGATTTATGTTATGCTTTCACGTCATGTGTTGTGGTGTTCACTGGCATTTATGGTTCATAATTTTTGGCACTGTCAAATGTATTAAGCTTTAAATAATGTTGTATAGACTTTTATTTATATGAACACAAAATATGAGTCTTATGATAGTAAAAATAAATCTTATTACAAATGACTTTGTCACATATCAAAGTTGAAACAGCTCCTGGCCATGCTTTCTTCCTCACAGCTTTGCAGTGGATAAATATCCAGTTTTAATAGGTAATATTTTAGCAGTTATTTCATTGCCCTTCCACACACACATACAAATAATTACCTGTTATTTTACAAAGGGAGTTTGGTTTATCAGTGAGATCTCATAGTAGGGAGTAGAAAGACTTGAACCCAGTGCCACCTTTTGTTGGTTCTTAAAAGTGATGATATAGTAATAGTTAATTTTAATAATTATTTGCCAAGTTAGGAGGATAAAAACTTCACCAAAGAAGGTGTATTTTAATGTTTGAACTTTCTTAAAGTAAGGTAGGTTCATCTGTTGTTTTTCATTCCCTTCTCCGCTACAAAGCAAAGTGAGGGGTGAGGCTTAGATTTTTTTTAACCTCTAAACTGAGTGATGCTTGATGAAGGGGGGCTTGTTGCTTGTCTTTTTGATACAAGGGACAGGGTGGATATAACTTATCTTACATATTATGTGGTTTGCCTTTTGTATATGGGATATAGTGTCTGTTACTACCACTGAGTAAAGCTGAATATAATCTTGAAAAGTTTCAGACCAAATTACATATCAGTGTGTATGGATACAAGTTACATATCATGTTTCATATCCAAATTAACATTGTAAACATATCATACAGTCCTGTATCATTTTTTATGGTTATCAGTAGTTGCCGTATAATTGTTAAATGATGCATTTGATATGTACAGATGAAACTTTAAGCTGGCCTTTTAATAGTGATCCATTTAATTAGATTAAGAATTTTTCTTTTATTATAGGAAAATAGTTCAAATTTTTTGTCACAAACAGTGTTTATATCTTTTGCAATACAAGGTAGGACTGTCTTACAGATTATCAAAAAAAAACAAACCTGTTTTAGTTTATTCTAATGAAGATAGTCCCACATGAGTACCTAAAATTTGTGCTGTGTTAACATATATGTATATATACAGTATATTGCTTTCATTTCTACTTGCAACAATGACCACATCCGCAGCTGGGAACTTTGAACTGTGCATTGCAAGGTAATTTACTCTTCATGCCATGAAAGTGATATCTTTGTAATGCAATGCCCTTTGTTCAGTGTGTGTGTATGTCATTATATAAAATAATGGCATTATAGGAAGTGGTACATGGATCCAGAGTGTGTAGAGCCTCACCCCTTGAGCTGTGCCTGCCAACCATCCCAAGTTACTGGATGCTATTTCTTACATTGCGTACCTTTTTTGGTCACATTCCTGCCCAAGGCTGTGCATCTTTGATATGCTGATTATCACTGCCTCTCTTTTTCTGTAAAATGTGTTTACTCATTCTCATTCACACACTTTCTTTCTCTGCAAGTGTCTCCAATATATTTTTTAGCTTCTTGCATTTTTGTTTCTCAATTCCCAAGTCTTATTTTTGTTTTCTCAGATTTTCTTGTTACTTTTTTCCTCTCATTCCTAGCCTGTCTCTTCTTTCCTTTGTTTTTCTGCTTCCATTTACTGCCTTTCTCTGTACATACTTTCCATTATTGTGTCTGCTTTTCATCTGATATTTTTTCTCATTTCCATCATTCCTCACTCTGTTTATTTCGGCCCCACCTTTTTTATCACCCATCTCATGCATTGTGAATTGGCTTGGTTTGATGTTAGTTAATCCAGTGATTATAGTAGCATTGTTGGCAGGCAGACTCTTGTTAATGTTGATATTGGTCCGGGCTGTGATTTAGTGTATGCAAGCGCAGGAGATGGTTAGTTAGGTCAAATGATGTGACAAAGTTTGTCTGGTGGGCAGAATGCTCGGAGGAGACAGAACTGCTTCACTCACCATGTATACGATTGGAACCCCCCTGGCAGGGACCACAGGCTTCCTCACAGGGCTTCAGTAAAAATGACGGTGTTGCTAGGTGAATATGTAATACATTTAATAGGCATGCTCATGAAAATTACTCTCAGTCATATACGTATATAGTACAATATTGCAGTAAGATTTTGTAATTGTTGTTAACACTAAAATGCAGTATTCTGAATTGTACTGAAAAGCTAAAGTCACTTAAAGCCTGTTATATAAGCTTTAAACATATCAGTCCTCACCAGTGTCATTATTATTTAAGTTAAATGGAAGTCCTGTGCAAATTCAAGGCTGACGGCACAAGCTGTGTAAAGTTTCACCTTTCTAACATTTGTGGTTTTACATAATGTTGATATTTGCATTGCTTATAGTGTGAGCACATGTTTGTGTTGGGGTACTGCCCTGTGCAGGTGTGAGGGCCGCCTGTGTTGTGGGTGCAGCGGCCAGCCAGACTCTGCCCCGGGGGTCCCAATATCCGCCTTCTGGCTACAGGGTCAGGGGTAGTTTTACCTGTATAAATATCAAGACATTGTTAGCTTATATGCTGTTAATGTTGACCTTGATGTAAGACCTATGTTATTTGTACCATTATCTGTGTAAATTATTGTTATGACAAGTAGGTGGCTGTACTAAGATGTGATATGCCACTGGCATAAGGGCAAACTTTGCTCACAACTGTAGCTTCCAGCTGCACAATAAGTATGACTTAGACTGCAAGATTAGATAATGCACAAAGCAGTGTTAAGACTGAAAGTTTGTTAGCCAAAGGTTAGGCATGCATGCCTATTTTTAGAGAGCTTTTAACTTTTGTTACAGGCTTTTATAATCACCAGAGTTAGTTAATGAGACGTATGAAATAAATTGTTCTTTTCGGGGCCAAGCCCATTCATATGAATAGAATGCAGAATTAATGCTATGATCTATGATGTATAGTTTGGCACTGCTTTGACAGTGTCTGATTTTATTGATCCATCTCTGCTCACATTTTCAAATTATTCATAACTGATGCCTCATGGTTCCTGAACTTAATGCGATTTTGTACAGGAAATGAACAACGAAGGATAAGCTTATCGTGTAGCTGGCAGCTGTGCTCTTAGCTGTGGCGCTGAGACAGCTACAATGTGTTCAGTTCTGCTTTCAACGAGTTGGTATCCTAACCAGGCAGCACTGCCGGTTATTTCACGGCTGCCCACATAAGACTTGGCCCTGGTTGATGCAGTGCCCACACACTGCATCCTTTTATGAATAGAGCAATTTTTCCTAATAGAACATTTTATACATAGATTTTCATGCACCAGCACATTCTCTATACCTTGAGCTTCCTTTTAGGTTAAGGTAGCTTTAGTCATACTACTTTTTGGAAGGACTATTATTTTTTTCAAAAGCAGTCATCAACCAAAAGAAAATCGGATAGAGTTTAATCTAAAATATTATTAGAATTTGATAATTGCGTGGAAAAATTTTTACTAATTGAATATATGATGGAAAAAATAGGCTTAAATGATGTTATGAATATAAATAAGTAATTTACAGTGCTTTGTAGTCAGAAAGAAAATTTTTTAACCAGGGCAATCATGCGTGGGCAGCCAGGGCTCATTTTAATAGTGTTTCCTCAACATATCAGATATGATCCCTCCTTTTAAACTGCCATCATTTGTAGTTGTTACTCTATGATCTGTTTTCCTTGTAGATGATAGACAGGTAGGATGACACACGGGCGGGCCGCTTGTCACCACATTGCCAGGCAGAGCTGGTGGTTTGGGAAATCAGGAACTTATACTTCTCCTATCCTGTATTTGTGTGGGATGCCAATTTAAAGAAAAAAAAAAAAAAAACTGTGAAAGTGATGCAGATGCACTTAACATATGTGATGGACACATCACAAATTTTAGAATATTTCATTGGAATCAGAACAAAGTCAAAGGGCCTATTCATCAAGATCATCATCTAGAAATCCCAAGTTGCCAGCGGTACTAACTTGCCGGGTAATGTGGCGGTGGTATGCCAAGTCCCAGGCCAGAGGCAGCATTTTGCTGCTGTACCCGCTGGTAGCTATGTTTGTGGCAGTGCAACTAACTGGAGGTGATGGATAAGGCCTGTGATTATTGCTGAACAATTCACTTATTAGTATTTGTTCTAGTCATTTTCAAATTGGATTGATGTTTATATAATAGATTTCATTCCAAAAGAAATTTGTTATTGGGGATATTTTGTACTGTATGTGGTGTTACCATGTAAATTGACAAATCTTCCTCTTGAACATGTACTTGTGGCAAGGGGTCCCCTGATAGCATTGGCATACTGAAAGAGTGATTCTCACCTGGTACATCACCACTGCAACCCACACTCATCTCTAATGTAATGGATAAAGTGGGCCACCTATATTATATACCTGCAGTGAAAGACATGTGGTGATATGATTTGTGATGGTTAATGGGCTGCATTTTCTGATTGCTGTGGTTAATATTAAAGACATTCATTAGCCACAGCTAATGTATTGAAGTGAGGTTAATCATGGTAAGTGATACATTCATAGGATTGAGTGTTTTGTAGCAAAAATATGTACATAATTTTGAATAGAAATGTTAATATTGTTTATAAATTGGTATTATTTGTTTTTATTTTGTTAAGTGTTGAAGTCAATAATTGAAGACAATATATATTTGTACTAAGAGTTTAATGCTTTTAAAAATTGCCTGTTATGTTTTTTGCTTATAAATTTCAAGCTCAAGCTTAATTTAACAATTAAGAAATAACCTTCAAAAGGTTTTTTGTTATAGAAATTTATTAGTCTTATACTACTAGGCAGGTGAAAGTGGTACGACTATAAACAAATATTTTTGTTGAATAAGAAATCATTATATGGAATCTTATTCTTCATGAGAGTTGAATATTATATTAATATACTGAAAGGTGTATTTCATGTTTTTATAAATTAAACAGAAAACATATAATGTTCTTGGAAAGAGTTTGGTCTATTTCTGGTAATATTAAATAAAATTTGAAATTGGTGAAAGAGAGCATGCATGAGATTTAACTGCTTAATGCTGTAATGCTAATTATTCAAATGTAATTTGAAATTGGCATATCTGCAAGTAGTTTGGATGCCTTGTTGAAATACTAGTTAAACTAGTTGTTGGTAAACTTTTTTTTTTAAGGAATAATATTTGAGGCAATATTGTACAGGGTAGAATGCAGGGGACCCCAGTGTGCTTGATTTGCCTGTGATAGGATGTGAAAGGTGAAGGGCATCCCCTCTGTAGTAGTGCGAGCCAGCAGTGGGTAATAAGACGACGGTCTCTAAACGTGCTACCTTCTGCTGGCACCACCTGCAGATGAAATCAAAACTTACAAGTTTAAAGGGATGCTCTTGGAGAGTGTTCATGGCCCTGCTGGTAGTCTGATAACCAGTGGCAAATGGAGAATTAATTTTATTCACTTGTGATGTGTTTTTATGAAGATCTAGTTTTTAGTCAGTTGAGTGATTAAAAGTAACGGACCTTTTGAATGTCCCTTTTTCACCAAAGGCCCTTCTTTATTCCTGCAGTGTTTGTACCTGGAAAGTATCAAGTATTGTGCATGTGTGTTCCTTTTGTTACCTGTTTGGAGGCCAGTGAGACTGGCTTTGGTACCTGCATGATATAAGAGTGTTGGGGGGGCATGCCCTTCACAAAGTATACAGATCGCAAGACATTTGCTATTGATACTGCATTGTGACAGGCGATGATGGTGACCATGATACAGAAATGATAGGCACATATCATCTTATGTACAGTAGATCTTTTTAAATTGTTATTCTTAATCTTTCATTACCAGGGACTCAAACAAATACGTACAGAGACTCTGGTCTATATTCTGTGGTAATTTGACCCCAGCCAACTAATCTGTCCGTACGAGGTTGTCTTGGCAGCATTTGTGGACATTTTGTCCCTCAACTGATTGGTGCTTTTTTTCCAGATATGTATATTATTATTGATTAGTATACTATATATTAGAGCACATGTGATTCCATATGATTAAGGTTTAATTTGCTTTAAAAGCATTGTGATAAGTGTGTTATAATGGAACTCGTGTGATATAACCAAATTATAAAATTAGATGTGGTACAAGTCTTGTCATAAATAAAATTTAAGTCACACCATTACAATTGAGGGTCATGTCCACAGAAATAATTCTGATTTTACGGTCCTGCTGAATGAGAACCTCGTGCGTCCTGACAAGGTCTCGCTCGTGCCCTAACTGTATCTTGTGCCAAAGAGACCCGGGGCCCATGGCTCAACAGCTGCCGATAGCTGTCAGTGATGCACTCGCCCGGAGGGCACCTCGTTACCCTCACTCCCAAAGTATACTTAACTATGGAGAAATAGAACCGTCCTTTTGGCAATAACTACCCCACTGAAGGATGTGCTCCCAAGGTGGCTGGCCCGGGCAGGGGAGGAGGGAGGGGTGTGGTGATGCCCTCAGCCATAAGAGGGACCCGACTTTTCAATAGTTGGTGACAGTGGCACATCGGAGGATGACTCCTGGTACAGATGCTAGAACCAAATATGGCCTTTAAGTTTTGTGTAGAAAATTATTTAAAAATTCAGCACTATATAAGGTGAGCATTTCTGTTATGGTCCAATTCCCTTTGTGCTGCTGTGTCCCTCATTTGGCCGCTGGAGGAGGTGAAGCGCCAGGCCCAGGCGAGACCACTGTCACTCAACATTTCCTCTCTCGTAACAGTCTCTCATTTTTAGTACGAGATCAGTGCAATAATTACGACTAGACTACAATACTTCTGATTTACCATAATTTTGAATTATTGGGCCTGGGGGTGGATGCCACCAGTTACATGTTATAGGCCTTTGCTTGCAACAGTTTACCCATAGTTGTTTTATTTCACTTTTATATTTGTAGTGTACCTGCTAGACAGCACATTTCTTGTACAGAGTTCCATGCATCCCCCATCCAGGCCCTTAGCCATAAAGTTCAATACCGCTTCCGTTGACTTCCACAGTACAGTAGCTCAGTGGCCCAATTAACCCCCCTGCCACCCCCTGCCCCACCCATTACTGCCACAGGCAGTGAGCAGTCCTCACCTCATCCCTGCTGCTAAGTGGAAGAAAGAGGAAGTAGTTCATTTTATCTGCACCATATTCTTCCACTATGCAGCAGGAAACCACTGAAGTACCAGTCCCATTTGCAGGTGTGGTGTAGCAGGTGGTGGCAGGTGGCTGCTGGCTCCATGCTGGGGTCGGGCTGCTACCAATCCACATGCCCATACACACCTGCAGTTGCTGTTATTGTTCTGGTTCCCAAGGCTTGGTTCACATCCTTACTCTGTTGGTTAGGTTCAGCCTATCATATCACGTTTGTAGTCCATTTATCTCAATAAACAACGAAAATGAGCTGTTATCTATTACTTTCCTCTATTATAAAATATCTAATATTAAATTATTTGTAATCAAAATATTACTCTTACTGACTTGTAATGGGTAGTTTAGATCTAGGTTTCACATGTGAAATCATGTCTAAATTTCCCTTGATATACTTACCAGAGAAAGTAGTAGAACATTATCCCATTCCTGCAAAAGCTTCAATGACTTGTTAATAAAATCCTAAGACATGTAGAGGAAGAAACTAGAAGATCATTAGGCAGGAATAACTGTAAAATATTAAAGTCAGCAAATCTAGAACCAAACTGCACCAGGGGCTGTTATGAAAATATTAAAAGCAACTAAAAGAACCATGCTACAATAAGAAAAATTACAAATAAGCTGTTTTGCATTTAACAAAAATTTTGTATTTTCCTCTTGAAAGAATAGGAAAATATGAGGCAAATCTAATTGGGTATTTCTAACCGATACTAAACTTGAGCACAAAAGAGCAATTTACACATTCTCTGATGTTACATTAAGTATGCACCTGAAAAAAAAAGGGATGGGGACAAACTAAAGGACCTTAAAAGCACGACGCATGCGAGACATACCTCTGCTTTCATACACGGCCTGTTACAGTAGGGCCCCACTTATATGGCAGGTTAGGTTCCAGGCTACCATCAGAAAGCAGGACGCCATTTTTTCCATTTATAAATGCCAGATAACAAGTTTACACTAACACACTTTAAGTTAGAAACAGACCTAGCCATTAACCCTTTCAGGGTCGAGACCCGCCGATCCTGAACTCTCAGGGTCGAAAAATTTAAAAAAAAAAAAAAAATAATTCTTATGAAATGATAGATTTAGCCCAATATGAGCCATATTTTTGGCCAATTCCAATGCTCCAGTCAACTAAAATCATAGCTATTTTGCTAGAACTCCATTTGTTCCATCGAATGAATACAAGAAACCGCCCATTTACCAATTTCAACTACCCAATATAGTCAATTTGGCCAATTTCACACAAATTTCAAAAGATGCCAATTTCAAAATAGGGTCCAGAATAAACAAGACAGACATTTCTGGCACATCTCCAGGCCCCTCTTACATTACTCTTGCTTTCCATTTTGAATTTTTATTCTCACAAAAAATAGAAGATTTACTGTTATGCACAAATGGTATAATATCAGTGCACTTGTGAAAGAATATTAGACTCGCCACTTGACGCATATTGGATGCGTGGAGTGATTTGTTTACTCTTGAACATCAGCAAAAATCGAACATTTCCGCTACTTTGAGCTCAATTTCAAGATATTTTTCGTGAAACCTATTAAAAATCATTTCTATTTCTGTAATATATCTTCCATTCTATCAAATAATACTAAGAAAACGAGAATACAACCATAAATACCATACGAAAATATACTGCAAAGTCGCTGTTTTGAACCAAAAGCATGGAGTTTTTTTTTTTTCTTATAATGCACTGCATGCTGCAGGATTTTTTTTATACTGTGCACACTGACCATGCAGACTCGTTCTTTCACATGTAGGCCTACCAGCTTTCTTCTGCTTGATTTGAAGGTGCTAGAATTTACGTGTACAAATACGGCACTGACTCTGAAAGGGTTAAAAATAATAAAAAGTAAAATACACACACAGTACATGTTATTTTTATTTTTATTATCACACTGGCCGATTCCCACCAAGGCAGGGTGGCCCGAAAAAGAAAAACTTTCACCATCATTCACTCCATCACTGTCTTGCCAGAAGGGTGCTTTACACTACAGTTTTTAAACTGCAACATTAACACCCCTCCTTCAGAGTGCAGGCACTGTACTTCCCATCTCCAGGACTCAAGTCCGGCCTGCCGGTTTCCCTGAATCCCTTCATAAATGTTACTTTGCTCACACTCCAACAGCATGTCAAGTATTAAAAACCATTTGTCTCCATTCACTCCTATCAAACACGCTCATGCATGCCTCCTGGAAGTCCAAGCCCCTCGCACACAAAACCTCCTTTACCCCCTCCCTCCAACCTTTCCTAGGCCGACCCCTACCCCGCCTTCCTTCCACTACAGACTGATACACTCTTGAAGTCATTCTGTTTCGCTCCATTCTCTCTACATGTCCGAACCACCTCAACAACCCTTCCTCAGCCCTCTGGACAACAGTTTTGGTAATCCCGCACCTCCTCCTAACTTCCAAACTACGAATTCTCTGCATTATATTCACACCACACATTGCCCTCAGACATGACATCTCCACTGCCTCCAGCCTTCTCCTCGCTGCAACATTCATCACCCACGCTTCACACCCATATAAGAGCGTTGGTAAAACTATACTCTCATACATTCCCCTCTTTGCCTCCAAGGACAAAGTTCTTTGTCTCCACAGACTCCTAAGTGCACCACTCACTCTTTTTCCCTCATCAATTCTATGATTCACCTCATCTTTCATAGACCCATCCGCTGACACGTCCACTCCCAAATATCTGAATACGTTCACCTCCTCCATACTCTCTCCCTCCAATCTGATATTCAATCTTTCATCACCTAATCTTTTTGTTATCCTCATAACCTTACTCTTTCCTGTATTCACCTTTAATTTTCTTCTTTTGCACACCCTACCAAATTCATCCACCAATCTCTGCAACTTCTCTTCAGAATCTCCCAAGAGCACAGTGTCATCAGCAAAGAGCAGCTGTGACAACTCCACTTTGTGTGTGATTCTTTATCTTTTAACTCCACGCCTCTTGCCAAGACCCTCGCATTTACTTCTCTTACAACCCCATCTATAAATATATTAAACAACCACGGTGACATCACACATCCTTGTCTAAGGCCTACTTTTACTGGGAAAAAATTTCCCTCTTTCCTACATACTCTAACTTGAGCCTCACTATCCTCGTAAAAACTCTTCACTGCTTTCAGTAACCTACCTCCTACACCATACACTTGCAACATCTGCCACATTGCCCCCCTATCCACCCTGTCATACGCCTTTTCCAAATCCATAAATGCCACAAAGACCTCTTTAGCCTTATCTAAATACTGTTCACTTATATGTTTCACTGTAAACACCTGGTCCACACACCCCCTACCTTTCCTAAAGCCTCCTTGTTCATCTGCTATCCTATTCTCCGTCTTACTCTTAATTCTTTCAATTATAACTCTACCATACACTTTACCAGGTACACTCAACAGACTTATCCCCCTATAATTTTTGCACTCTCTTTTATCCCCTTTGCCTTTATACAAAGGAACTATGCATGCTCTCTGCCAATCCCTAGGTACCTTACCCTCTTCCATACATTTATTAAATAATTGCACCAACCACTCCAAAACTATATCCCCACCTGCTTTTAACATTTCTATCTTTATCCCATCAATCCCGGCTGCCTTACCCCGTTTCATTTTGCCTACTGCCTCACGAACTTCCCCCACACTCACAACTGGCTCTTCCTCACTCCTACAAGATGTTATTCCTCCTTGCCCTATACACAAAATCACAGCTTCCCTATCTTCATCAACATTTAACAATTCTTCAAAATATTCCCTCCATCTTCCCAATACCTCTAACTCTCCATTTAATAACTCTCCTCTCCTATTTTTAACTGACAAATCCATTTGTTCTCTAGGCTTTCTTAACTTGTTAATCTCACTCCAAAACTTTTTCTTATTTTCAACAAAATTTGTTGATAACATCTCACCCACTCTCTCATTTGCTCTCTTTTTACATTGCTTCACCACTCTCTTAACCTCTCTCTTTTTCTCCATATACTCTTCCCTCCTTGCATCACTTCTACTTTGTAAAAACTTCTCATATGCTAACTTTTTCTCCCTTACTACTCTCTTTACATCATCATTCCACCAATCGCTCCTCTTCCCTCCTGCACCCACTTTCCTGTAACCACAAACTTCTGCTGAACACTCTAACACTACATTTTTAATCCTACCCCATACCTCTTCGACCCCATTGCCTATGCTCTCATTTGCCCATCTATCCTCCAATAGCTGTTTATATCTTACCCTAACTGCCTCCTCTTTTAGTTTATAAACCTTCACCTCTCTCTTCCCTGATGCTTCTATTCTCCTTGTATCCCATCTACCTTTTACTCTCAGTGTAGCTACAACTAGAAAGTGATCTGATATATCTGTATATGCATTATTTACCTCAAAATATTTGTAGTCTTAACCCTTTCAGGGTTTCTGACGTACTAGTACAGCTTGCGCACCAGGGTTATTGACGTACTAAATTCTAGTGAAAGTTGGTAGGCCTACATATGAAAGAATGGGTCTATGCAGTCAGTGTTCACAGTATAAGAAAAATCCTGCAGCACACAGTGCATAATGAGGAAAAAAAAAACTGACCGTGTTTTTGGTTTAAAACAGTGAATTTGCAGTGTATTTTCGTATGGTATTTATGGTTGTATTCTAGTTTTCCTGGTCTCATTTTATAGAATGGAAGACATATTACAGAAATTGAGATGATTTTGATTGGTTTCATAATGAAAAGTACCTTGAAATTGAGCTCAAAGTAGCAGAATTGTTCAATTTTTACCAAATTTCAAAAGTAAACAAATCACGCCAAGCATCCAATACACATCAACTTGTGAGTCTAATATTCTTTTGCAAGTGCACTGATGGTATTTATACCATTTCTACACTAATGCAGTAGTCTGCATAACAGTAAATCTTCTATTTTTTGTGAGAATAAAAATTCAAAGTGGAAAGCAAAAGAGATGTAAGAGGGGCCTGGGGACGTGACTAATGAACAGAGAAAATGTTATTTTAGTGCCAGGAATGTCTGTCTTGCTTATTCTGGACCCTAATTGGAAATTGGCATCTTCTGAAATTTGTGTGCAATTGGCAAAATTGCCAATTTCTGACAACTTTATTGGATACTTGAAATCGGTAAATGGGTGGTTTCTTGTACTCATTCGATAGAAAAATTGGAGTTCTAGCAAAACAGATATGATTTTTGTCGACTAGTATACTGAAACTGGCCGAAAATAGGGCTCAAAGTGGGCGA